GAATTATATATATTAATATTATAATAATAATAATAATAATAGTAATAATAATAATTATATATATATATATATATATAAAACAATAATAATAATATGTGTATATACTTATAGTAACCTGCTCGTCAATAACAAGAGTGCAGCCGTGGTCTTCTCGCACTCTTGTACCCTCGAATGACGTGAGTACGAAGCACTCGCAGCCTCGAAATATCATCTATAAGTATTTTTGGTAAAAGGGAAAAAAGGCGTAATAATAGTTTGACGCACACGCCGAACTGTAGATCAATATGGAGTATGGAGCCGGGAAATGGGAGGTTGTAGGTCAGCCTAATTGGTAGAGGGGGAAAAAAAAACAAACTCAGTGCAATGTTTATGGATTAATTTCTCTCTAGAATAAGACAGTGTGGTTTGGAGGGGAGGTGGGGAAGGGGTGGGAGTGGGGAGGGGGGAGGGGGGAGGTTTTGGAGTTCGTTATGTTGCGCTCGCGTGTGTGTGTTGTTATGTTGTTTTGTTGTGATTGTTGCTTTAACTAACTATAAGAAATCATAGACTGATTGTCCGTATTTTGCTTCGATTAGATAAGAAACAATTCCAAACATACACTCATGTGCTCGTTTGTTACTTTGTTTGTTTGTTTTAAGGTGTTTTTTTTCGGTTTTGTTTTGTGTCGCTTTGCTGTTGTTTTTTGTGTGTGTGGGTTGTTCTTGTTGTTGTTTGTTTGTTTGTTTTTTTGGTGTGTTTTTTTTTTGGGGGGGGGGGGTAGTAAAGAGAACTACATCGACACAATAACAGTCGATTTATATTCAAGTTTACGTTTTAAGTAAGTGTTTATGCAGTGTTTAAGGCCATTAGTCCACCTGACATAAACCATCTATTTTACAGAAGAACAATTCAGTGCAAGGATAAAGTAAGACGTAGACAGAAACAACAGGCGGGAAAGAAAAAAAGCAGGACCTACCAGTGGCGCACTCCAACCACCCACGTAGACAGAAACAACAAGCGGGAAAGAAAAGAAGCAGGACCTACCAGAGGCGCCCTCCACCAACCGCCCACGTAGACAGAAACAACAGGCCGGAAAGAAAAGACCGATAGAGAATCTTTTTCTTCTGCGTGCGACAGCAAAGATCATAACTAACTGTAGCACCGCAAGCGCTCGTCTGCATTCAGAGTGTAAAATAAAAAAATATGACCAAATTACTACCCCAATGAGAATGCATGATCCAGGCTTTTTTTGGGTTTAAATTTTGTTTTGTTTTTTTGGTTGGTTGGTTTCGTTTTGTTTCTTTGTTTGTTTGAACAGATAGGGAAAGAATAGAAGAACGCAAAAAAAACCCCCCAAAAACGACAGAGAAGTGAAAAGCCAAACAAAAAAAAGCAGAGCACAGATAACCAACAAAATAGAACACATCAAATCGTCATTTCAGAATTTATTTCAGCAAAATATATATATTTAAGATCTTTCCAGAAACAATCGTTTACAGCTTCCAGTCGATCAAAAACATCGTTAAAAAATTGAGACAAGCATTAAAAGTACCAGAGCAGTTGCGCACACACACACGTTATTTATTCCCTCACTGATGTCACTTTCAAATAATAACACCATCTAGATCTAGAACAGCGACAAAAATTGACATAAACAAAACTTGTTTATAACATAGGCTATATATATATATATACAAACACATATGCACATACATGTTCAGTATTTAATGTAAATACATTGTGCATTCGATCATCACAGAAGAATATCAACATGGGTGAGTTTCCCTTCGTCAAAAGTCAAAGTTAATCCCATTTTTAGTTCCAGTAAAGAGATCCACATCTCCATAATAATGGTTATTTATAGGTTTGGGTTTTTTGTTTGTTTCAGTTTTAAGAGTTTTAGGAGCTTAGGTCATAAAAGTGCTGTAGATTAGAGGTGTTACTAGAGAGTGACACTAACAGAAAAGAAGGAAAAGAGATAAGGACGATAGACGTTTGATAGGACAGAAGGAGCAAACCACATCAGAGCATCCACCAACCTCCCAAATTTACGGGGAAAAAGCAAGATGGACAACCAGAAAAAAACAGAGGGTTAGCAAAGAAGTAGCACCTATCAGGGGCACCCACAATTTTTCCACTATAAAAGCCTGAACTTTTATGAAAAACGGTATAGACTGGTTCAAAATGGTGCATGCAGCATGCTGTACGCATGCATGCACACACACGTGCACACATACACACACACATCTAAAGTATATCACACATAACAAAGAAGACTTCAATGCACCTACAACATAACACACCTCAAGTGCTATATATCAAAAACAAATCAGACTTCGATCTCCAAGAACAAAAACCGTAACTGTCTCGCACAATCACAGAAAACCTCCCACAATCACAGACTTTTCTCCAACCGCACCAACAAACACAACCGATCAGACAAAAAATTGTGAAAATTAACAAAATTCAAACAAATAAAAGCAGCCAAGACTGAATACTGTACATGTGCATTAATAAAGACCAGAAGCAACGGACTAAACGCAGAAATAAACTGCTCAGCAGAAGGAATAAAGTACAACAATAAAACGGGTATGCAAGTAAATGCTCCGTACACTCAGTTGTTTTTTCCTAGGTCCTACATCTCCCTTAATCTTACATCACAAGCGTGTCTGGAAGATTTGAATCCTATACAAATAACAAAACTCACCTGAAATTCAGAACTCCGACCATGGGGACCCTAACGCAAAATGTAGCTGCAACTACACAGTACAACAAACTTATGAACAAACAGCACCTGACAACAAACTTATGAACAAACGGATCACCTGAAATCATACCATATTATAAACTATAAAAGCTTTTAAAACACACAATTGGTCGTGTTCAGAAACTGATATCATTCCAGCTGTATAAGATAACAGTGCAAGTTAGGTGGAACTGTTTACTACTACTATTGATAAAATGAAGAAATTTCCCTTGTGCAATATAACCATCGGGGAGTATTTTACAAACTTCAGGATCTAGTAAGTCTTGAAATGGTTGTGTTCCCAAGACCATCGGACAGACAGTGCACACTGCAATAATGCCTAACAAACAGAGCATAAATACAAATATTCCATAACAAAGAATAATGATAACAGTTCAGTCTTTTATCTAATCATCAAAACATATCTCAAAATGAATGATTTTGATAACAGAATTAACAAAGTTTGTCTGAAATCAAACACTGTGTAGAGATCCAGCAACAGGACATTAATGAACGTTGAACGAAAACATAACTGTCACCCCCTCAAAAGCTAAAATTACTATACACAAATCGACTGTTTTGGTCATACTTACATTACTACACACTACCAGCAGCATCGTTTTCCATACACAAAACATAAGAAACAAAATACAAGGCAA